GTTATAACCAAAGCAGGGTCGGGACGAGGTCGGGGATGATGTTACATGTCCCTAGTACGACCTTGATTATTTTTTTTCTTTTATTTAATATATGTATATAATGTGTATATAAATAAATTTATATGTATATATGCATACATCTTTTATTAAATGATAATTACATTTGATTTCCAATATTGGTAGTTAATGTAGTGATGGTTCATTATAATTTGAATTTTAAAATACACTGTGTTTTACTAAGTGGGTACCCAACGGGTTTCTCAAGCCCGTCGGTGATTAGTTAGGACGGGGGGATTAAATGGAGATCAAGATCAAGGATGGGGGATACATTTAGGCATGGCAACGGGGTGGGGATGGGGCGGGTTTCGTAATCCCCGGCCCGGCCACGGTCCTCGACGGGTATGGGGATTAACAACAATCGTCCCTGGTCAAACCTCTATCAATCCCCAATCCCCGGTCAAACCCCATGAAAAATATCCGTTAGTTTGATTCTATCAGGGATCCCCGGCCCGACTTCGGCCTCGGTTTAACTAACATCTCCCGGCCTCGACCCCGGTTTAAGTCTACCTGTGATCCCCGGCCCCGGGACCCGTTTTAGCAGGGAATCCTCGTCCCCGTTCGGGTCAGGTGAACCGGGTTCCCCACTAAGTCGGGGAAAATCATCATCCCTAGATACATTACCCGCCCAATACTCGTTTCCATCCCTACATAAGTGTAAACCGTCCAACCCAAGCTGACATATAATGATTTGGGTTAGGTTATAAATTAAAAATGATTGAATGAGTTATGATTTTTCAAACCCAAGTAGTTGGATTGGGTTAATCATATAGCCTTAAAGTGCACAAACCAATCAATGTGCACCTGTATCACAATTCATTGTTGTTTTCATTCATGTGATTTACAATTCATTATTGAATCATAAAGTATAGGGATGAAAATTGTAATTTCAAAAGTATAGGGACTAAATTATCAAATTTTACCAAACCAGATGGACTAAAAATGTACTTTACTCCTCTATTTATACATCTTGCCAACCCTCTTAACTCCAAAGGAGAAAGACTAACAATAGTTTTCACTTTCTTCATCTTAAACTCTTTCATGGGTACGATCAAATCTCTGTTCTTTTGCTTCTTGTTCGCCGGAATCTTGTTTTTCCGACCAACCACCGCCAGATTCCTCCACTTTTCTCTTTCTGACGTGAAATCTTATGTTTCCGATCCACCTTTATCTGCTGCTGTAGACTTATCTGCTTTGCCTCCGGCACCGTCGCCAAGGGAGGAGGAAAACGACGAGAGCGGTGGTGTGCAGAAGGTGCATACGGAAAACCATCGTCACTCGTCGGACAAATCTGTCGCCGGCGGCGGTGTTATCATCGGTGGTCTTGCAACCGCCGTTTTAGCCACGCTTTATTGCTACATTCGGGTCACCCGCAGAAAAGATGGTGGAAATCATTAAAAGCTTCGATTTTTTTTTTTTAGTTTTTTTTTTTTTGGGGTTTTTATTTGGGTAAATATATGTTTTACCAACACCATTTGAGACTACGATATACTGAATTTGTTTAGTTTTATCTAGTTTATTTTTAACTGGTATTTTATTTTGATAACCATGGGTTTACTGGTCACTTTACACATACCGACTAATCCCTCGAACGACCACGAATGGTCTAGAGTCATCGCAGGTGCACCTTCATGGTCATAAAAGATTTGACGTCGCCTAGATTTGAACTCAGGGACAACGAGACTTCCACTGCATTAACCCGAGCATTAACCAGAGCGTCACAACCCAAACGGGTTGTTGTCTAACTTACGGTTTGCGTAACATGACTCTTTTTACGCTAGTAACACTTTTAAGAAGTTTCATATAAAAATACTAAAATACTGATAATATGATTTACTACTTGAATTTTGTTATATTGTCCAACTTATTGTTACAACTTTTAAGTGTTCTATTAATACTGTTGTGACGTTCATAACATGCACCCGTTTTTTTGGTATTATGTCAACAACGATACATTTAATAGTATATCATAACTTTCACACAACATATAATGTGGAGTTGTCTGATTTATTTGTATATGCAACACGAATGTCGGATAGATTCATAAACTTTAACCTTCTCGTGTACCTTTGGATGAAATCACGTTGTAGCTAGGTTTATTTATTATTTGTACAGAACCAATAACCCGTGCAATTCTTTTGTTACTCGAAGTGTTCTGTTTTAATTATGTAGTGCTTGGGTCGGTTTCTCTTCTGAAAATTGATGCATATTTCGTTTTAGTCGAGGTCATTTCAAAAGATAAGGGTTTTGAAAGTGTTTGGGTTAGGTTTTTACGTAGGGTCTCTTTGTCTGATAGCAAAAAATAAAGAGCTAAACAAAAGTCAAATCGATCAACTCCGATTATAGTTCAGATTTAGATGTGTCTTCAATTCGTTTGGTTTTCAGTAAAATCGAATGTCTAAACCCGAATAGCTTGAATGATATATATTTGGCAAACTATATGTATCACACGAATATTTTTCAATAAATTTAGAAAATATATTGTTAGGGTGGTGTCTGATTGGTTTGAGCATGGCTCCAAAGATCAAAAGTACCAGGAGGTCTCAGTTTCAAATCCAAGGAGGAATAAAAATCTCCTTGTGGCCACGGAGGTTCAAATACGGTGACTCCGGGCTATCTGCAAAACAGGTGGTTGTCCTGGTATTAGTCGGCTCGCATAGCGGGTTGGATATCAAGGTTAATAAATAAATAAATAAATAAATATATATATATATATATATATATAGTAGCGTTCAAATAAAAACCACCAAATTTGTATAAACCATGCAAACCTCATTCAACCAATCGTAATTTTTCATTTTATTCATTTTTTTGTAATTATAAGAGGTTGATTAACCATTTTTATTGCGGAGAGTGTTAATCATAGATATTATCATCTTCATTATTTAAATTTTAGAGAAATACATGAAACAGTTTCATTAAAATTTCATTAAATATTATATGAAACAATTTCATTAAATATTATATGAAACAATTTCATAACTATATATGAAACAACTTCATCAAAAAAAAGTATTATATGAAACAATTTCACAAGATTAAACAATTTCATGAATTTTTTTTATAAGATTAAACAATAAAATTGACGGATGAGGGTGGTTTGCACGGTTTATACAAATTGGATGGTTTGCATTTGATCGCTCATGTCTCTCTCTCTCTCTCTCTCTCTATATATATATATATATATATAGAGAGAGAGAGAGAGAGAGAGACCCTTGACATTTGTGCAACAAATACAACCCAATTTCAACCGTTAATTTAATTTGATTAATATGTGATTTCATAGAAGTTTTGATTGTTTTCTAATATAAAGTATTGATTATAATTAACCATATTCATCTTCCATAAATATTCAAATCATAATAAATGAACTCTCATCATTTCCATAAATATCTCAATTTATTGGGTTGCATTGGTTATACAAATGCGACGGGTTGTATTTGAAACAAACTCTATATATAATAATTTATTATGATTTAAATATTTATGGAAGATGAATATAGTTCATTAATCATGATCAATACTTTATATTAGAAAACAATCAAAACTTCTATGAAATCACATATTAATCAAATGAAACCCAATTTGTATAAACCGTGAAAACATCATTCAACCAATCATAATTTTTCATTTTGTTCATTTTTTTGTAATTATAAGGGGTTGATTAACCATTTTTATTGTGAAGGGTGTTAATCATAGATATTATCRTCTTCATTATTTTAATTTTAGAAAAATACAAGAAACAGTTTCACTAAAATTTCATTAAATATTATATGAAACAATTTCATAACCATATATGAAACAAATTCATCAAAAAAAGTATTATATGAAACAATTTTACAAGATTAAACAATTTCATGAAAAAATTTCATAAGATTAAACAATGAAATGGACGTATGAGGGTGGTTTGTACAGTTTACACAAATGAGGACGGTTTTCATTTGATCGCACATATAACATATATATATATATATATATATATATATATATATATATATATATATAAAATTGTCGAATGACCTAATAACCTAAAACCCGCGTTTCTTTAACGTCTATTGTTTGAATGTTGAGGTAGGCTAGAAAAGGGTAGATAAGTAATTTTATATAATTTCACGTGTTAAATCTCACAAAAGAAAAGAGTTAAGAATGTTGTCCTCTTTCTGCTTTTCATTTTATGTTTATCCTTTTTGTGCATGGAGAATATAATATTAAATAATTGTTTTTAATCAACAATTATCTGAATAAAACATATGCTTATAAATGATTAACAATTGTTTAACAATTACTGAATGGTTTGATGTAGAATGATTAAGTAGTCAGAGACTTAGAGTGATTAAAAGACTCATGATATAATGTAAAATGAAATATAATTGTTTGGTATTGTTTACAATGAAATTAGGGTGTTGAATGGTTAAGTGAGACTCATGATACAAAATCATCCAGAGGGTTGTATAGCCATTAAGAAAAAGATTTTTTTTTTGTCAAACAAGATTCACTTATTAACGATTCAGATGTTGTCTTTTAATAAAACTATTAAGAGGTTATATTCATTTAAGTTGAAAATAGACATCACTTAATTTGCACGTTTTTTTTCCTTACTTTTTTGATTTTTTTTTTAAATTAGCTTTAAGTTTTATACTTCTTTGTAATATTAGAAGAAGAGTTAAGATGAGAAGCGTAAAAACAGATCTAGACCCTTAATTAATTAGTATAAAGATTGATGAGGGGATGCTTTGCTTATGAAGGAAGAGAAGTTGTGAAAGGTAAATACTTTCTCGTAATAACAAATATTGAAAAAGGCAATGTATAAAAAATTACATTTTTTTATATTACTTTATAAATAAATACAGTATTGTTTTATGGTATGATAATAAAAACAATGTTTATCAGTTAAATATCTAAAATCTTTTTGATAAAATCAATATCATAAAATTTCAATACTGAAATAAGAAATACAGATAAATTAATAAATAAAACTGATTCAAAAGGTGGATTATATTCATACTCCTTAAGAATACATGAACATAAAGTATTGTTTATTGATACATATTATTTGAAATTCAAGATTTTAAAAAGATAATACGACTTTTTAAAGCTTCATGTTTGAATTTGTATAACTAATTGCAGATATACATAATCAAATACAAAATAAACATCTTATTTTAAATATGAGAAATCTAAAATATAAGTTGAATAATCTTAAGTTCTTACATGATACTTAATTATTATCTTTATAAAAGTTTATATTATTAAAACGAAAATAGATTATGCCGTTATTAATCTTGAATTAAATTATAATAAAAAAATCAAATTAAAGAAATTACTCAAAAAATGAGAACTTTAAATAGTTAATTTGATACGAATATCGATATTTTTTCTAAACTTTTATTATATCTTCAAATTTATATTAATTTATTTTAAAATAAAAACATTATCGTTTTTTCTCAAAACACATAAAATTGTATTATAACATAGATGAATACAAAGAATAAAATGATCGAGATGTATTTCGCTGCATTGCACAAATACCCTTCTAGTAAACACAAATATAGATATATTAGAAATATAAAAACGATTATATTTTAGAAAAAAAAATATGAACACCGGTTGGAATCTTGGATCTATTTGAGTGATCTTGCTTTATATACCTTTTTTTCTCAAAAAGCAAATTATAACTACGTAAACCATGCATTCATATTGAGATTTTCCATAAGCATCTTTTAGTCAACAAGTTCTCATTTACCAACAATCTTTATATGACGTCACAAAATCAAAATAATGTTAACCTCTGATTGGTTTGAGTTTGGGGAGGCTAATGACACCCCTATCATTTGCTAATGTCACCCTATCCTCTTATGTAATCATTTTTTTGTTTCTTTTTGTGTTTTTGTCTTTTTCTTGTCTTTTCTTTTTATACTAATTTCATTTTACTTAGTTTATTTAGTTATAAATATATTATTATTATTATAAATATTTTTTATTACCCTCTAAAATTTTTATTGTTACTAAAAAATATTATTTTTTCTCATAATTTCTATAAAAAATATTATATGTTTTATTTTCTTTTTTAATATTTTTCTTAAAGGCGTTACCTTTTTCTAATAATCATTTATATATATATATATATATATATATATATATATATATATATAGGGTTGGGTTCACGTGAGAYCAARGGTTTTTCGTGAGACCCGTAAGACCAATTTATGTTCATTGATCAACTTTATAGGTTAATGATCAAATGGTATAAATTGCACGGTGACAATTTTGTAATTATTGAGAAGTCTCGTGGCGTTTATGAATATTTAGATTTTCAGATTGTAGATCTAATTCAAGGGTTGAGAATTGATCTTACGGGTCTCACGAAAACCATTGGTCTCACATGATCCCAAATCTATATATATATATATATATATATTTCTTTTTTCAATAACGATTCTTTAAAAACGTAATTTTTCTAATAATTATTTATTAAAAAGATAACATTTTTATATTACCAAACTACATATAAATTCAATATAATGATAATATCATTAGATCTTTACATATTATAAAAAAATTATTTAACTACTAAGATTAAAAATCGAGAAAATTGTGACTTAAAAATCGTTTTCCCACTTATTTGATCTGTAAGTCAAACAAGTCATGATATGTACTTATGTAGCATTTTACGGTTAAAATGATCAAAATAACAAATTTTTAAAAGTTTGATAATTTATTTATTAAAAAATATATGTGAGGATGATTTTTTTTTGTGTGAATAATTATGACTCGGTGAGTTGCACGATTTTAACTTTTTTTATTTTATTTTCTTTACAATCTTTTAATTACATCATTTTAAAAATATTATAATAACTCAAGAAATTTAAAATTCTACTTTATGTAAAAGTGATTACATTTTTCAAGTCATTTTATAAAAATAACTTTTAAATTATACAATTTTAAAAAGGTTAAAATAATTTAAGTAACCAGTTTTTAAAAAAGTTTAATCATTTAATTATTCAAAAAAAAATGCAAGCACTTAATCATTTAACATAAAAAGAGTTTCAACACCTTATTCAATCAAAAAAGAGTTCAACAACTTATTCAATAAAAAAAAGTTCAGAAAACTTAATAATTCGAAATAGAACAATTTATTTAATTTTCTGAACTTTTTMTTTATTTAAATGTAATGCAAATGGTTTAGATAAATATCTCATCAATTAAAATAACTAACTGAACATAAAAATTAACTTTTGGATTAAACTATTTTAAGTTTTTTAAAATAATTACAATAAAA